TTTTCAAACTGTGAACCTCTTCAATCAGAAAAGAGAGAAAAAATTAATCAGAGCTAAATGTACAAAGTGCATATTAAAATGGATCCTCTGCAAATCCAACGTATCTTTAAATACTTCTAGTGTCAACATGGACAGCTAGCTCTTCTAGTCCAGTTAAGCTGAAAAGAGGTAGCCACTAATATCTCAGAAAAGAGGAAAACCAGGAAGATTGTAGAATTCTTATGAAAGTGATTGGTTTTTTTCCTAGAATTCCAGTTAAATTCTGAGTTGAAGAGAAGCTTTAAAGACTTCAATTGAGAAGAATCATTATAAACTCCTTGCTGTAAACCACAAAAGATATCCTTTTTTTCCTCTGGAATGTGGCATAATTTTCTGTAGAACTTCAGAGAAAGTTATGACATGCTTGATCCACCTGATAGTGCATGTACATGCAACATGCTTAGTGGATTATTACTCTGGCCTTCCCACATGCAAACGTGGCTGCTACCAGGAACTCCAAGAACATGATTTCAAATTTCAGATTTGTGGAATTACAGACTTTCACAACGGTAACCTTTACAAAAGCACAATCTACAGTAAGCAAGCTGAGTTACAGCCTTTTCCTTTCCAAAGGAAATACGTTTTTACTCCAGTTACTTCCTTGCAACACAGCTGCTTGCCCTGCTGATTTCAGTGAGTACAACAGTGTGTCTGTTTCAGCATCAAGAGATTGTTACTTTGGAAATAAATTTGAGTGAATTCCAAAATTTGCTTGATGTGTTAATATCCACAAGCCACTTTTCTCAAAGGTTTGCCAACTGTCCTATACAGGAAGGATTTAAACAAATGTTTAAAACCAATACTCCCTTTTTGTCCACAGTTTTCAGCTGTACTAGAAAGTATTTGTAAGTAGTTCTTCTGTGCTAACTAGAAGTCTGTGAGAGGCATCACAAGTTGGCTCACTGAGCCAACATACTCTGCATACAGCTTTTCATGCTGGAATACTCCCTTTCTTGTCACTCCTACCTAGAAGATGAGTACCTAATTGATTACTCTGCTTCACAAGTGAGACTATTTCCAGCAGTGCTAGAATTCAAAGGTGGACCATTATGTTACACAAATGACAACTCACAGTTACTATAGGCTCTGAAAAAGTCTCCTGGAATTAAAACAAAACAAAAATCCCAAACCACACAACAAACCATTCAAGCACAGAACACAGAAAAATCTAGAAGCTTTGTTTTAACTCTATGACAGAAAGACCATTAAGCAATAAATTTTTTAGCTGATACTGTAAGAATATGTATGAGTAGCACCTCTGAAGAAATAGCAAATCTTCACTCAAATTTCAGATCATGGCAGCAGAGGACACTGTATATTTAGGAAGACTTGTAGCGAGCAACAAAGACCTGCGTTTGAAGTTCTGTGTTGTACAGATAACGAAATCCTGTAACAATCTATTCAACAAAGGTGTAGCATTCATATCACATTTGTTGGGTTTTTTTAAACAACAAAATCCTGTAGACTAGAAGACTCAAAAAGGTGTCTCTGCACAAGTCTTAAAACACACGCACTCATTTGTCCTAGAACTAAAACTTGCATTACATATATGGTGCTTATTTTGGAAAGGCAATCCTTGAAACGTATTATGAACCAACTCAGATGTCTCCGTACACAGACAGTTATGGTTTCTCTCATTACTCATATCTGTTTCATACTTTAACAAAGGCAAATTTGTTTTGTTCAGAATGCAGTAACTGTGAAACTGTTAACAGCTCCCATCCCAAAATATTTGATCGGTATAGCTCTAAGAAGCAGCAGAGAAGGTATTTGCTGAAGCTCTGAAAAGAAAGGACAGCAAACATGACCTCCTCATTGCAGGCACAAACTCAAAGGGAAAAGTTTCATGGATCTCTCAACAACATATATTTGCATTAAAACCAGAATAAAAGGCATTCACAGATGTTAAAATGAGAAGAAAAAAAGTGTCACAATTCATTCTGACCTGGACAGAACAGGCTACAAAATTTCACCGTAAGTCCCCTTAACAAAAATACTATGAAAAAAATTTCCATGACTTTCCTCTGAGCTAGAGTTAATCTTTCAAAAAAATGCCCAAAGATCAGGAGAGAAAAAAGTTGCTTCTTCCTTGTAAATGCCAAAAGGGACTGTTGGGATGATTCAATATTAACAGCTGCATACTACAGCTATCCCTCCCATTCACATAATAACTTAATAAAATTTCAAACTTGTCTATAAAATTTGATTAAAACATTACTTTGTCTTTTTGCAGTACAATGAAAGGCTTATCCATATGCACAATAAAGGTATGATCTTCAAATTTAAAATTTAGAGAAACAACATGAAAAGTTGTTAAACTTTCTGTTTGCAAAGCATTAATTTTAGCATTAAACAAGTCAATTTTATCGAGTTTTATAATGAATGGGCATCAGTCCCTTAAGACAGAATGACTGTCTAAATGAACTAATCTTATTTTAAACAGGATTTCAGATAAATCACAGTGATGTTGTACGTGGCAAAGCCAAGAGAAGACATTTTCTTGGTGGAAGGATGGATGAGAAAGCAAAAATAAAGGACAAGAAATACAAGGAAGTAAGAATTAAAGATAAAGCAAAATATACTAAGCTACATGGAATAAGAGCGATGTGAGAAGTGAAACAATGATGCTAAAAGGCAACACTAGAAAAGGTTTGCTACAATCTATTAAGAAATATAGGATGAACTAAATAAAGAAAGTTTATGAAAATTACATTTCCTAGCGTATTAAAATGTTTATAACTAAAACCAGCACAGAGTAAAACAGTGGTCACTCTTTCTCTCAATTGCAGTGATGACATTGGGGCAATGGCATGAATAGTTTCAATATCGGTCACTTGTTGACAAATAAACTTTGGCTTATGAAGAGATACCTTTATAAATTATTAACCTTTTCAAACATTGGAGTTCACCTAATAATTTAGCATAATTTATCCTAGGAAGTAAGTTACCAGGATGGGTAAAAAAATGTAGAACTAAAAATACAGGTGAAAAATCTGCAGTTCAAAGACACTTTCTCCCAAATCTGCCTGGCTGAACACTCAAAACTTGATTTGTAAGAGAAACATAGTTACAACATTGTTCTTTTCACAAAACCTATTTCTAGTGTCATTCTAAGAACCTTATTCTGAATACAACAGTAAAAAGACTGGTATCAGATTCAAACATTTTCTTCCCCTGGAAAATATGTCCAAAGTTATTTGAGGGTATGTAAGAAATAATTACTTCAGAAAACCAAAAATACACAAAAACATTGCAGAAAAGATATAAACCTCACGTTAAAATTAATGTGTTGCTCACGTGTGACACAGCTACTAGAGTCATCCCAATCAGACAAGTGTCATTTCAATCATTATACATTTCTAAAACATTCCATATGAATAACCACACACTGCAAAAAAAGTACTTCAGAAACATTTAGAAGGCACACATGCACCGTACATGGCTCTGAGGGCTCTAAAAATTACTATTTTCTGCACATAGAATTGCATGAATTCAAAATCTATCCTTCTGAGACTAGAGCTGAGTTCCATCACAAGTATTTCCTATCAAGAACATGAAAGTTTTATCTGAAATCTTAAACTAAACTGACAACAAAGATGTCATAGTTTCATATCTAACTAGATACCTATTCTTAGAAACGGAAATCCTGCCTGTTCTGAACCTCAAAAAGGGATAGGGGAAATGTGCGTATTTCCAGGATAAAGAGAAAATATTTACCAAAGAGGCTAGTATTTTACAAATAAGTAATACACATCCTGAATTATTAAGTCTTTAAGAGTTAATACAAACAGATTAGTCAATAGAGAACAGACACAGCTCAACAAATCCATTATACAGATATCACCTCTGTACATGTGCACATAAGCATAGTTATACATTCACAAAGATGATTTCTACATAATTTCTTATCCAATCAACTATGTAAGAAAACATTTTAATCTTGAATTCATGATATACCTGGAACCACATTCATAAATCATCCTGCATACAGCTGAAATCCTCTGCCACTTGATTTGACTATTTTGAGACATGACAAGTCTATAAACATAACTATGTAAGAAATTTAAATTATTTAAATGCTAAAAACTAGAAAAGAAAGGAACCCTGATCAGTTAGTAACATTGATTTCACAATGTGAAATGATCTAGTTCAGTCTGAAACCAAAACAGTCAAAATTACAGCAATATAAGCAATCTTATAAAAAAGTGTTACATCTGCAGAAGAGACGATCAACCAAATATGAAACCTACAAACTACTCTTAATTATTTCCTGTCCATATTACTAATTTGAAGATGCTAGCCAATTGTTTATCAGTTCCTTTCTTCTTTCTGCCTACAATGGACCCTAGAGACAACGATGTCTGAATTCTCCTATAAAGGCAGAACCTTTTTGTAAGCTTGTTGTCACACAGCCTCAAGTGTGGAGGCTCCCCAACAGAGTTGTAGTGTGAAAGAGGCAGATGGGACTTTGTAACTGCATTATGTCAAAACATGTCTTGGAAAACCACCATCTCAGTTCCAATTAAAAATATAGAAGAATCTTAGGGCTTGTATACAAAATATTTCCCAACACTCCAGCTACACTAATTTAGTTACAGTAGTACCAGTCCCTTATACAGACACACATCAGTTTAAATCATACATACAGCAGTTACATTTCACTGTATAAATTACCAGATTAAACTAATTCAGCTGAAGTACAGCTTAAGACCACTTAAGTGTTCCCACATCAGGTACTAGCACCGAAGTAAATAAATCATTTCAGGTACATCATAGCAAGAGTTCCAATAATGACAAGCCTGTAGACAAGTTTCACTTTGTTCCCCAAAATCACCACATAAGCAGGAATATAAACTAATTATCAAATGTTTGCATTTAATTTCTAACCACAGAAGTAGCAAATCTAAAAGAAGAAGAGTGTAAAAAATATAATGCAATTAATATTAAAAAAAAAGTCTTACCTTTATTAGATTTGGATGACTTGTTCTTGTTAGGTTTAAAACAAGAGCCCCTTGATTTATCTTCTCTATCCTTAATAAATTTCTGCACATCATCCAAAGAAAGCTTTTGAAGCACAACTACAGGCTTAGCTCCTTTATTTAGATCTTCAACTAGCCCAATCTTCTCTACTCTGTCCTTCTGTTCACCTCTAAATTCAGTTTTCCTTGACTCCTGTGTAACATTGCCATCTTTATCACGCTTGATTTTTGGAATGACAAAGTGTTTCAATGCACCAGATCTTGCCCCCAACAAATAACTGGGAAACTCTGCTTTATTGTCAGCATGTGCCTTATTACTATCTACTTTACTCTTATTACCATCTGTCCTTCGTTCATCCTTGCTGTTGGGTGATTTAAAACCAGGTTTATCAGGTCTTGATTTACTAGAATCTCCTTTACCTTCCTGTTTAATACGAGGGCTGTCAGGTCTTGATTTCTGATCCCCAGAAGAAAACCTTTCCCTTGATTCACCAGACTCATGCCTATGTTTCCTTTCAAATTTTTCAGGTTTTGAAACATCAGATTTGATACCATGCTTAGAATCATGTTCATTTCTGTTTGAGGATCTCAAATATTCAGGCCTCCTAATCTTGGATGGATCTCCTCTGTACCTCTCTGACTCCCCCCTGTCCTCAGATCTTTGTTTAAGGCTATCATGGTCACGCCTTGGTGTATCAGGAGCTGAACGCCCATCAGGCCTTTGTTTTGTTGGATCAGATCTACCTTCAGGTTTTACCCTTGAAGGATCAGATTTCACATCTAGTTTATGCCTAGATATTTCAATTTTCTTATCTGACAATGGTTTACTGGAGTCCCTCCTATTATCATGTCTATGTTTTGGCGTTTCGGGCCTGCCTTCGCTCTTCTGTTTTGGCGTTTCGGGCCTGCCTTCACTCTTCTGTTTTGGCGTTTCGGGCCTGCCTTCACTCCTCTGTTTTGGCGTTTCGGGCCTCTGCCTTATTTCCTGTTTACCATTATTTTGTTTTCCCTCATTTTGTTTCATCTCCATTTGCCTGCTCTCATTTTGTTTTGATTCTGTCTGTCTGTTCTCATTTTGTTTCACTTCCATTTGTCTGCTTTCATGCTTGCTTTCATGTTTAGCTTCCAACTGTTTGTTCTCATTGTGTTTACTTTCCAACCGTCTGCTCTCATTTTGCTGAAATTGTCTGTTTTCATTTTGATGAATATCCGTCTTTTGACCCTCAAAGTCTGACTTTTTCCTAAAAATATCAGGATGGTTTTCAGGTTTAAATTTAAGAACTCCAACAGTGTCTTCTTGGGGAACACACACAAACCCATCATTATACTGCTTAATTTCTTCAGGTTTTTTGATGGTGTCCAA